CGGCCCGCCGAGACTCACAGAGGCGCGGAACCCGTGTCGTCGTCTGCAGGCGCAGCCACATGCAGGAGAGAAGAGAGGGGGTCACGCCGCAGCCCCTCTCCTGCTCTCGCCCCAACTGTAAACGTGGGCAGCCCCCCCGACGGACCCCCGAAGACGAGAGACGGTCACGCCCGCGGGCGTCTGGGAACCCTCCGTGCCTGTGTCCCCCAGGGACCCCGGCCCGCGGCGCGGCGAAGCGAGCGCAGGCACAGCCGAGGCGGAGCCCGGCGCGGGGCCACTTACCCTGCAGGACACCTGCAGCAGCAAGTGAGGGAGAGAGAAGGGCGGTGAGGCGTGGCTGTGTGCCAGTGTGCAAGGCAGCGGCGCCGGCGAGGACCAGCCCTCCCCACCCTCAGCACCCTCCCACGCCCGGCTCCCGGGCAGGGGTGGCGCGCGGAGGGGGCCGGCTCACCGTCCAGGACCTCATCGGGCTTCCGGCGCTTCTCGTAGATGAAGATGATGGTGACCAGCACGAGCACCTCGGCCACGATGCCCAGGAAGGGCCAGAGGGCCGCCAGGTGCCTGCGCACCCGCAGGGTGATGACGTCCTGGCCGTCGCCCTGCGCGTTGCTCGCGCTGCAGTGGTACTTGCCGGCGTCGGCGTCCACGTCCAGGTCCAGGATGTGGAGCTCTGACTTGTGGTCAGAGGAGACCACGAAGTACTTGTCGCCCCGGGAGGAGTTGGTGATCACCTGGGGAGCGGGGCGTTAGGGCGGGCTGTGGCGCACCCGTGGGGGCCGGGCGCTGGCGGCCTCACCTGCTCTCCCGACTCGTTGGTCCGGTGCCACTTCCAGATGAGAACCGGGGGGAAGGAGTCCGACTTGCAGGCCAGCACCACCCGGTCCCCCTCGTCGGCATTCTCGGACGACTTCACAGCCTTAACCTTGGGGGGCCCTGCGGGAACCGGGCCCGTCTGAGCCCCGCCGCTCCCCACCTCCGCGCGGGCACTGCCACACCTCTCCCGGGGCCCCGCACTCACCGGGCACCTGGATGCTGGCCCTGCCCGCGTGCTCCGGCAGGTAGATGCAGGAGTACTCGCCGGCGCGCTCGGCGTGGTCCACCCTGCGGGCAGAAGCGGCGCCCCGCACTGCACCAGAAGCCCCTTCTGCGGCGCAGCCAGCGTGCCTCTGGCCCCCGCCACACGGGCACCCCCAGTAAGGACCCGTGCCCGCAGCCCTCCAGGTCTGGACAACGGTCAGCTCGGCCTCGGTCAGACGGGGCTTCAGAGCGGGGCCGGGTCCCGGGGACGGCGTCTCCCGGCTGGGCCTCCCCGAGCCCCCCAGCATCCGGCCGCCACGCTCTCCCGGCTTCTCACACAGAGGGTCTGGGCAGCGGGGAGGTCAGAGGCTTGTCACGACAACCTGCCTTTCTGCTTACTGAGCAAAGACCACGGCACCTCAGAGCAAGCAGGGGCCCAGGGGAGGGGGTGCTGCAGGCCAGCCCACTCACTCGTACTCCGTCCTCAGGTCTGGCAGCAAGTCCTCTCTCAGCAACTTGTCCCCCTTCATCCAGCGGTGGCCGGTGATGTCCACAGCACTGTCGTTCATGGCACAGGTGAGACGGACTTTGGCACCGGCGTCACTGACAGCAGTCCAGATCCGGCTCTCTGGGTGGCCGAGCGAGCGAGTGATCAGCCAAAGGGCCATGGCAGGGGAAGCAGGACTAACCTGAGCCCCAGCCACCTGCCCACTCGGAGGGCCAGAGCCCCCTCACCCCAGTCAGGCGTCTCCTAGAGGAGAAGGCCTGAGTCTCCGTCAGGGCCAGCGTGGCAACTGCTCCTCCTGGAAGGAGGCCGGCGGTGAGGCGGGGCCTGAGCCTCGGGAGCTACACCTGGACCCAGCGCTCGATGCAGGCGTGTCAGCAAAGGTGGGGAGCCAGGGTCCAGCCACACAGATGACCCAGGCCCTGCGGGCCTCAAGCGCCTCTCAGCGATGAACCCACTGCTCGGGGCCATGCCCACCAGGCAGCCCCAGGCAGGCGCAGGATGGGCGGGGACACGAGCCCGAGTCTCCCCTCCCCGCGTTTCCCACTAGAACAAGCCCCTCACCAGTGCAGCCGAAATGGGAACGCCACTCAGAACCAGATGAGCGCGTATTCAAGGCTGGGAGGTGGCGCGGCAGGCTGAGCTAGGGGCTTCTCTCCAGGGCCCAGGGTCGTGACCCCCAGGCCCACTGGAATGTAGGGAGTGTTTGAGAGCCCCTGGACAGCCACAGGGTGGAGCCCACTTCGGGCCTAAGGAAAGCCAGCCCATAAAGGGCCATGAGATCGTTTTCCGATCAGTTTTCGAGGAAAGCTTGTATCACAAAGTGAGGGGAGCAGCGGAACAAGACTGTGCTTGACCTACTGCAGCTCAACGTCCCCACGCCGGGAAGGGAACGCAGAGCAGGCCGGCAGCTTGGCAGCAGATTCCGCAGCCCGGACCCTGCCCCCGCACCGGGCAGTAGCGGTTCTGACCGCAAGCTGACAAAACACGTGACGGGGGGTGGGGGGGCCACCTGCCACGCGGCACCAGGACAGTGGGCGGTCAAGTCGGTAACAAAGTTGATCCTCAAAGCGCAAAGGGCAGCGGGTCATCATCTGAGACACTCACGGCAAGGCACATAGTTCCGGAGTCACCGGCTGGGCCCCCTGCCTGCTCCCTGCTCTGCCGTGCCCGGCACAGGCCCAAGCTCCCGCCGCGGCTCCGTCTGGAGACAGGACTCGGACAGCGCGGGCCCCTCACGGGTCACGTCTGGCCACCTGCTGGCTCAGTCTGTGAGGATACCGTGTCTCCAGAGCTCCAGCCGGAAGCACGAGGCAGTCCGCTGTGCCGTGTTTTACACACAAGGTGCGTGCACGAGGCCCTTCAGGCCGGCTGCTCTGTGGCCCGGCGCCTGCGCCCAGGACCCCTGGGCGCACCCACAGGCCCAGGCCAGGCAGGGGTGAGGCTGCCTTCCACAGCCACCACCTCCAGGGCCACTGCTTCCCACGAGGGCACAGCCAGTAGCTGCATGCAGAGTCGGGTGCACTGGGGAAGACAGACAGGAAGCGGGGAGACACTGATGTCTCAGGGACCAAAGCAGCCAGTCTGCCCCGTGGAAGTCAGGGACTCAAGTGAGGGCCCCATCTGGGCCCCAGGTTGGTCTCCTCCCAGGCTTCCAGACACTGGGGCCCCTTCTATGATCTGGCACCACGAAGTGGCATGAGCCACTTCTTCCAGGTGCAGGGATGTGTCTCAGGTCGTACAACAGTGTGGCCCTCCCTGTGTCACAGCAAAGACTTGGTGCTATGAAGATGTTCGTGAAGGACAAATGTCTCAGGGACAGGGCGACAGAGAAGGAAGCCCCCAAAACCTCCTTTGGGGGCCATGATAGAAAAGGCTGAACAGCACCGCTCCCCACCAAATCCAGTGGCCAGGAGACTCACGCTGGAGCACAGCTCAGAAGGTGGAAACCCTGACCATTACATCGTCATCTTTATCTCGAAACAGCCACCCTCCTCCCACGCCCGCCCAGCAGCCTGGGCACAGGGCCAGGCAGGGGCTCCCGGGACGGTGCCGTGGCACCCCACCCACGGGCGTTTGGAAAGGAGCTCACCGGGACACCAGCTGCCATCGTGGTACTCTACCTTTCCTCTCTCCTCCATCCTACCAGGAGGCGACTCTGGCTCCTGTTGCCTGAGGCGCAGAGGCCAAGTCATCAGCCCACAGGACCCAGCTGGCCAGCCTGTGTCTGCCAGTGCCCGCCGGCCCAGGCCCCCAGGGCATGAGGCCTCACCACCCTAGGAAAGCGCATCACCCAGGAACTGTGCAGGGCCCATCTCAGAGAGCCCCCGACGCACCTTCTGGGCACTGGCATGGCCAGCAGAGGCCAACACATTGCTACTTCTCTCTCTCCCAAGCAGAGCAAGGACACGGACCCAGACGCTCCATCCCGGAGACGCGCCGCGGCAGGGGAGCGGCAAAGCCAGGCGGAGACGCCGCAGCCTCCGCAGGCAGGCAGGCTGGGCAGCGGGCCCTGCCCGGGCAGCCAGGCGTCCGACTGCAGCTGTGACGAAACGGGGAGCCGGGGCACCGTATCTCCTGCACCCACCTTGCCCTTGGCCCTATCGGGGCCTTGCAGAGACCTGCCCAGCGGGCGGCTCGATTGCAGAGGAGAGCAGACCAAGGCCTCAAAGTGGGTCAGGAGTAACAGGAGGCCCTAGAGGACACCCGCCTGGCTCCTGCCTGGGAACGCACTCTCGCCTTCCCAGAGGGACCCCAGCTCTTTCGGGCTGCACTTTGTCCCCGACCCGCCGAGGACTGCAAATCTTTAACCCAGAATTGTTTCCACCAGGCAAAAAAGACCCAAAACCAAGCAACAGAAAACACAGCTATGCCGCTGAGCAGCGCACCCACCCCAGAGCAGGCCCCCGGGCGCCCACTCCCACGGGGGCTCTGGGCCCCCAAGGCTACTTGAACTGCACCACCCACCTTTCCCACACTCCCCCAGTTCCCGCTCCCAACTGGAAGAGGCCTCGGCTGCCGCCGGGGCCTCCCCTCCCAGGCCTCAGTTTCCACCTCTGTAAAAGGAGGGTAGAACATGCCGTTTCATGCTGCGCCCCGACATCTGTGGCAGCAAAACTGAGGGAGTATGCTGGGCTCCCACAAGGGCTGGTGTGGTGGGCAGACCCCACCAGACAGCAGACCCAAGTCAAAGCACGAGGCCATCTATGTGCGCTTGGGGACTGTGCCCCTTCCACAAGGAGAGCCGGGGCAGGGACGCAAGGCAGAATGGTGGGGAGCCCTGTGAATCTGGGGTCTCAGGGCCCCTTCCCGACAACGGAGGAAGAGGGGTCCCTACCACCAAATCCAGGGGTGTCCTAGCCCAGTGCAGGCGGGAACAGTGGCCAGGGCCCTTGGCTCCAGTCCAAAGGGGCCTGTCGAAGACCAGACCCCCTCCCGGGTTGGGGGTATTGGAGGGGGGCCTCCTTCAATGATCGGACCGGCTGGCCCAGGGGGCCTCATTTCCAGTAGCGCCGGCTGGGAGCCCGCGGCCCGCGGGGCCGAGTTTCACCCACCAGCCGCCTCGGCCCCAGGGTCGGCTTCACGCACACGCGGGACGGCGGCGGGACGGCGGCGGGACGTCGCTGGTCCCTCCAAGCGGCAGGCACTGCCGCCCCGGCGATCGGGGTCCCCCCTCACCCCCAGACACCGCCCCTGGCGCGAGTCCCCGGACGCCCTCACCCACACGCACCGCCACGTCCCTTCCACTCCCCCTTCACCCCCACACACGAGCTCGCGCGCGGCGCCCCCACTCCCGTCTCTTCATCCACACACACCATGTCCTCCCCGGACGCCCAAGGTCCCCCTTCGTGCCTACACACCACCTCGTCCCCCCCCGCCCCGCCGTGTTTCCCGGGCCCCTGCGCCCCACACTCGACGCCCGCCGTCCACCCCGGCCCTTACCGGCCCCGGAGCCGCCCCGCGCGCCCAGCAGCGCCAGCCCCAACAGGAACACCAGCACGGCGGCCATGTCTCCGACCTCGCCGCCCGCTGCCCGCGGCGATATAAGAAGGGCGAGGCGGGGGCGAGCGCGCACGGCGACGTTGCGGGAGCGCGCGCAAGCGAGCGCCGGCCCCGCCTGCGCACTCGCGCGGACCTCTCTACACATGCGCGCGCCGCTCAGGCGGGCCGAGGGGAGAGAGCGGCGGCACCACGTGACGCCGGCGGGGGCGGGGCGTTGCTAAGAGACGGGCGGGGCCTGCTCGAAGTGGGAGGGGCGTCTCTGCTGCCGCCAGGAAGTGTTGAAATCGACTCTCCAAAGCTCCTAAAGTGCTCGGTGGGGCCTCCCTGGTGGCACAGCGGGTTGAAGTGCAGCACTAGGAAGCTCTCCCAAGCCCCTGCAGCACGAGTTCGAACCCCGGCCAGGGAGGTGACCCACAGGGCGCGGCAGACCTCTCCTGTCTCCCCGCTGCTCCCCTCGGCAGTGTTTCAGGCTGCCTGTTCTGCTTCCCACTCTGTCTCTGGTGACTCCTCTCACCGCCATCTCTGGCCTGTACTCCATTTCCTTCTTGTATGTATAAATAAATAAGTTTTTAAAAAGCTCAATTTATGTTACGTGAGTTTTGCCACAACACAAAAGACAAAAAGGCTTTAAGGGAGGCGTCGGGGTTCATCTCCCCACAGGGAGAATGTGTCCCCTGGGGAGTCTGCCAGATTTAGCAAATGAAAATTCCTGGGCGCTAGTTAAATTTTTATTTCAACAGAAAACAAGTAATTTCTTGGTATAACCAGTCCATGCAATACTCGGTTGTTGTTAACGCCAGTAAATCATTTGCTCTTTATCTGAACTGCAAATTCAGCTGGCTGTCCTGCATTTAGTTTGGGATACCCCACCCCCCAGTGTCTCCATGTTTTATAACAAATATTTTTTAAACTGTTAACTTCAGACACAATCAGGATCATGCAACATTCCCATAGAGAGGCAAATAATTTCTTTTAAGGAGTTCTTTTTTACAAACGTCTGTAAGAGGCAAGCAGTGTGACTCCTTTTTGTTTTTTAGGATTTATTTACGCACACAAGAACTGGGGTACGGGCCAAAGGTGTGGAAGAGTGGGGGTGAGAGGACTCCCCAGAGACAGAGTGGGGAGCAGAACAAGCGGATCCACTGAAATACTCTGCTGAGGGGAACCGCGGGGAGACAGGAGGGGTCTGCTGCGCCCTGGGATGGAACTCATGCTGCAGTGGTTGCAAACAGCCTCATAGTGTTTGCGCCACCAGGGAGGGCCCCTGGAATGACTTGTGGGAGTTGAAATTGAGCAATGTCAAGGAGAAAGGAGCGTGTTGCTTTGCTGGTACGCTTCCAGAGACTTCCAAGGAAGGCAGAGCGCTGCAGGCTGAATGCTGAGGGCTCAACTTAAGACCTAATGGAAAGTTTTAAGGCAGACTACAAAAATTCTCCTTGGTTATTTTGCCCTATGAGTTTATAGAAAAATGGGTTCAAATTACAGTCAATTTACATAAGCATTTTGCTGTACTATTTAATAGAGTTGGGGTTCAGGTGGAGAGAAAGTGCTGTTAGCATAGTCCACTCTTGCCCATTTTTGCATTGTGTCTCTCCCGTGCCCTCTGTCTGCTTACTGTTTGTTAGACCAGCCTCTCTAGATTTGCTTGGGCTGCCTGGCAGTTTCTGAGAAGAGAGGCGCTTGCCACCCCGGCGCAGACAGTGCCCAATGGCTGACGGCTGTTTCCCCTGAACACACTGTAACCCTGGGGAAAGCCGTCTGCAGCTTCTGCAGCTGCACCCTGCACCCCAGTACCCACATGCTTGACCAGCACCACAGGGATAGTGCCAACGCTGAAGGGGGGACACTGTGAGGGCCCTGAGGAGCAGGCCCAAGCCAGTGAGTGGCATCTCAGTGGCATCCCATCCTATCCTCTGGCATCTTTCTGGACCCCACCGGCGATGCCAAGCTGACGCGCTCCGGTGCCCAGCACTACAACTCACAGCAGGCCATGGGCTGACTTCCACAGACAGGTGTGGGGCTGGTGGTGCCAGGGACTCGGGGAGACCCTGGGGCCCCTGCAGATGGGTAATGAGATGTTCTAAAGTGGTGGTGATGCTCCATTCACAACACTGCCCAAGTGTGATTTCAGTGAGTGAATTATATGGCATGTGAATTGCTTCAATTAAAAATGGGGTGATATTGCTAAGGAGGCTGCTTTGATGAGGGGTCGTCTTTTGGAGGTGATGACATGGGGTGTCAGTGAAGAAGGCAGCGGCATCGTGGGAGGGGGAGGGCAGTCAGAGGAGTCTCACAGGGGCAGAAGTCTCTGGAAGAAGTTAGAAGGATGTTGCGGAAGGGCCTGAACCTGCAGGGAAGGGCTTGGGGGCTCGAGCTCACAGGAGCCCGGGCACTTCCCAGAGTGACCATCGGGCTGCACGGGGCCACGGGAAGGGCGAGAACTCCGCGCCTGTGGGCTCAGGAAGGGAGGTGGCAGCTGCCTTCAAAGCTCCCCTGTCCCGGGCGGAACTGCTGCCCCGCTGACTGGGGCCGCCGGGAAGCCGTGTCTGTTTACGGAGTCCACCTGCTGCGACGCCTCTAAGATCCTGTTGTTGGGGGCCTCTCTGCGCCAGGAGGGTCCCTTGCTGTCCCCCTCCACTTCCAGGAGAGGCCACTCGGGACCTCTCATCCACCAGATTCAGCAAATAAAAACACAGCACCCCCCCCCCCAGTTTTAATTTCAGATTTGAAAGAAAATCAGTCATCTTTTAAGCTTTAACGCTCTCGTGCAGTATCGGGGACACACACGTACTGCGCTGTCTCTGGGCGTCCTGCGTTCTATCAGGGTTCGCCGGTGCGGCCAGCTCAGGCTCACCCTGCACACGGCCCCCATCCGGGTCGCTCTCTGACCTGTAGCCACACGTATTCCTCACTGCTGTCATCCTGCCCAGACAGGCCGGCCCCTGGCACCCGGCGGCTGTGGGTTTGGGACCAGAGAGACATGCTCAGAGCCTCACCTGCGCTTCCGCCCTGGCCCCAGGCCTGCACAGCTTCTTTGAGGGTGTGATTTCCAGTGTGGTGCCTTCGTCACGCACCAGCCAGGAGGCAGCGCCCTGCTCTGGCCTGTCTGCTCTGCACAGCGGCCAGGCCTCTGCGGCCCGCCCCTGCAGCCCTCTGACCGTGGGCCCCGGCCCTCAGCACCCTGCCCTCCGCCACACCCGAGGCCCAGCCTCACCTCACGCTTCCTGGCACCAGCCTCTGCCAGACCACATGGAGCCAGCGTCATGCCCAGTGCTGTCTGGCTGCCCCCCACGCCCCAAAGCTTTCCTGCAGAAGCCCCTCCTGGCCATCCTGCCCCGAAGCTCCACCCTTGGCCCTTCAGCCGCCGCCCATCGGTTTCTGCCTTGAGGTTTGCTTCCTCTTATACAATTTTCCAGACTTATGACAAGGGAGAAAAAAATGATGGAGGGTAATGGGTTTTCATTCCTTGTCACAACTGTCCATCCCTAAACGTTCTAGCTTAATTATTTATGTGCATTTCTCTGAGGATGAAGCTTTGACATCCAATGTATCTCCAGGCCATGACAGAGAGGAAAGTGGAGATTTTATTCTCAGCACGTGAGGGAGCGAGGGAGGCTTTGAGCAGGGAAAGGGCCGTCTTGGGGCGCGTGTAGAGGTCTCAGCTCCCCAGGGGTGTAGGACCTGGGAGGGAGGGAGTGGGCCCAGCCAGGGGGCAGGGTTGGGCCGTGGGCTGAATGTGGCCCCAGAACCAGTGAATGGGAACTTATCTGGGGAAAGAACTCTGAGGTATAGTCACGTTAAGGTCTTGAGAATTGATCCTGCTCTCCGGGGCCTGAGCTCAGGGGCTGGAACCTCACAAAAGACAGAGAAGGAGACACAGGTCACAGGAGAGGCCATGTGAACGCAGGGCCAGAGGCTGGGTGCTGTGGCCCTAAGTCCAGGGGCCCCTCGAAGCTGAAGGAGGCAGACTGATCCCTCCCTGGAGGCTCAAGAGGGAGCAGTGCCCAGACACCTTGACTCTGGCCTCTGACCTTCTGTGGGGACGACATTCCTATAGCCTGGGCCTCCTGCTGGCTCAGTGCAGCAGCCCTGGACGCCACCCAGGGAACTCAGAAACCACAGTGGAGGGCAGGAAGCAGCAAAAGAGTGAAGATACAAAAATACAGTGGCTCTCCCGGTGGCACAATGGGTCAAAGCACCCCATTATGAAGCTCTCCACAGCCACTGCAGCACGAGTTCGGTCCCCAGCCAGGGAGTGACCCACAGGGCCCGGCAGACCTCTCCTGTCCGCCCCCCACGGCTCCCCTCAGCAGTGGGTTTCAGTCCATCTGCCTGTTCTGCTCCCCACTCTGTCTCTGGTGAGTCTTCTCACCCACCACACCGCTGGCCTGTACCCCAGTTCTGTATGAATAAATAAATAAATCTTTAAAAAAATATACAGTTAGAGACAAGAGAGCTAAGAAACACTATAGCTGATTTACTAAATACAGCGGAGGGCCTCTCCGCAGACAAATGGGAGATAAGGAGGGAAGGAATGACTCAAAGCAGCGTTGGAGAACACAGCTACAACAATGCGGAGGAGGAAAGGAATAAGAAAGAAAATGGGGAGAGCCCTCGGGGACGACTTAAAGCGAAGTAACACCTGTATCATGAGGGCCCCAGAAAGAGGAGAGAGAGAGAAAAAGGCACAGAAAAATCATTGAAAGAAATAATTGCTGAAAAGCATCTCAGCCTGGGAAGTGAACCAAACATTGCAGCCCGAAAGTCCCAGGAGATCCGAGCAAAGTAACAGCAGACGACACAGCGAGAGGCCTGACAGCAAAGCGTGACCAGGACTAAAACAGGCCCCCCGCGGTGCAACAGGTTGGGGCGCAGCACGGGGAGCTGTCCCAGCCCCCGCAGCACGAGTTCGAACCCCCACTGGGGAGGGCCCCGCAGGGCGCAGCAGGCCTCTCCTGTCTCCCCGCTGCCCCCCCCTCAGTCCATCCGCCTGTTCTGCTCCCCACTGTCTTGGTGACTCCTCTCACCCCCGCAGTCTGGTCTGCACCCCA